GCAGCATGCGCAGTGTCTGCTGCTGCTGCTGCTGCTGCAGTCGGTGGCGGCAAGCTGCTGCCTTTGCGCAGCCATTGACCTTCTTTGAATAAATTAAATTAATTTAAATTGCTGCTGTTATTTCCTTTGCTTTTTGCTGCCTTACTTGGGGTGTACATACACCGCAGCACGGCACAGCCGCCTCCGGCGTTTTTCCGATTCTTCTTTTCTCATTTTATTTTATTTCAATTCCATGCACTAAGGACCTGCTGGCGCAGCAGCAGCAGCAGCTGCTGCTGCAGCAGCAGCAGCTGCTGCCAACGCTGCGCCGAATGCAGGCGCAGCCACAGCAGCAGGAGCAGGAGCAGCAGCAGCAGCAGCAGCAGCCCAGCAGCAGCAGCCCCCACGAGCTGCTGCTGCGCTCCTTATGTGCAGCCCACTACTGCGCCGCGGGCTGTGTGGGGCCCCGCGGCTTTGGAGTGTGTGTCCAGTTTGCTGCAGCGGCAGCAGTTTGGGTGCAGCAGCAGCAGCAGCAGCAACAGCAGCAACAGCTGCTGCTACTGCCGGCGCATGCTCGCGCTTGAGAAGCTCTCTTACCTCTCTCAGGTGCAGTAGGGAAATCGAAAAAATGACAGCAGCAGCATTAGCAGCAGAAGCAGCAGCTGCAGCAGCAAAAAGAGCAGCAGCAGCAGAAGCAGCACCTGCAGCAGAGGCTGGTCTTTCTGGCACTCACCCCTGCAGCAGCAGCAGCAGCAGCAGCAGCAGCACACAGTGTACGCATGCACAAGCGGTTGCAATAGGCTCTGAACTGCGACTCACAATGGAGCGTTTGCTGCTGCTGAAAGAGAAGCACCAGCAGCAGCAGCAGCAGTTGCAGCAACAGCAGGAGCAGCACCTGCACCAGGAGCAGCACCAGCAGCAGACTCCACCCGAAGAGCTTGAGCATTTGTGGCTGTCTTGCATTCGCCTGCTGCAGATGCTGCTGCTGCAGCAACGCGAGCTGCTGCTGCAGCAGAGAAGCAGCAGAGAGGTGCAGCAGCAGCAACTGCAGCAGCAGCAGCAGCAGGTGGTTATACGTGGGGAGGATTTGTGCGCGATGCTGCGGCTTATAGTGAAAAGAGGGACCACTGGTCTCCCCCTGGGCTTTTTAAATGCAGCGAGAGCAGGCCTTGCTGCTGTTGCTGCTGCTGCTGCTGCTGCTGCTGTTGCTGAGGCGGGGCCAGGTGCTGCGGGCTGCTGCAGCGCAGCAGATCTCGTGAGGGGTTGCCGCGCGCTGCAGTCGTTGGGGGCCCTTAACGGCCGCCAGCTGCAGCAAGTTCTGCAGCTGCTGCTGCCGCCGCAGCAGCAGCAGCAGCAGCAGGCTGCAGCAGCGTTTGCGCTGCAGCTGCGAGCAGCAGACGCAGTGGCGCTGCTGGTGCTGCTGGCCAAATCAGGGCTGCGTCATGAGCCGCTGCTGCTGTCTGCGTGTGACTGGCTGCTGCAGTGCAGCAGCAGCAGCAGCAGCAGCAGCATGTTGTATCCTAAACACCTCGCGGTGCGGCGCTTTACTTTTGTTTGTTGTCCACAGAATCTACAGCTTAAGCTTTGCGCAAAAAAGCTTGGGATTTACGTTTAAGGGTTTGGATTTTAGGGTTTAGGGTTTAGGGTTTAGGGTTTAGAGTTTGGGTTTTGCAGGCCTGCTGCTGGGCGCTTTCCAAACTGTCAATTTCTCATCCGCTTCTCGACCACCTCTTCAGCAACGCTATACCAAATTGCCTGCAGCAGCAGCAACTGCAACAGCAGCAGCAGCAGCAGCAGCAGCAACTACAGCAGCAGCAGCAGCAGCAGTTGGGCCTCAGGGAGTGCGCCAACATTTGCTACGCGCTCTGCGCCTCTTGTGTTGCTGCGACTCCTCTGTCGGAGCAGCAACTGCAGCAGCGCAGCAGTTTGCTGCAGCAGCTGCTGCAGCACCTGAAGCAGCAGCAGCTGCTCGAGCCCCTGCAGCAGCAGCAGCAGCTGATTCTGCTGCAGCGCGACGCCCTCAGACAACTGCAGATTGTACATCTCTTCTTGACCGCCCCGCAGCAGCAGCAGCAGCAAACGAGCAACAGCAGCAGCAGCAGCAGGGGGCCCTGCGTCGTCGAGAAGTTCGAAGCGGAGGCTGCGGTGCAGCAGCTGCTGCAGCAGCTGCAGCTGCTGCTGCTGCCC